TGTGAATTTGTGCAAATAAATCATCGGCGTATGTCCCACGATGCCGATGAAACTATAACGAGCTTAAATCTAAAGTGATAGACGTCATAAGAACAGGGAAGTATACTTTACAAGAATTCCTCAAGAACTGAAACAAGAAAGCTGGTCGGTTGTAATCTCACATACTCTTTGTGGCGTGATTTTATCCACATAATTAGACCTTTCATGAAGCTTAATCGATGCTTTATATGCTTGATCAGGTCTTCCCTAAAATTCACGTCTACCCAGAGGCATTCGCGGAAGTGAATTTAGTGCAGAAATTGTACGCTGCAATACCTAGGTTCGATTTTTGATGTGGAAGCTGAGTGGACTCAAACGAACTCAATACTGTAGCCCATCCTGAATGAAATAAGGCTAAGTAAAGAAGTTGTTTGACCTTGTTTTCGCAACTTGGTCATGTCGGCAGGAAGAACTAGAGGAACGCATCTTGTCGGGAGTCCATAGTATGCATGATAATTTACAGAGTCGGAACGTGGACTTGGTACATTCCTAGATGTTTTGCCGGCATCGTCAGTGAGTTTTGCAATTTTTAGTATAACATTAAAGCTCGTCAGAGATAAGTGAAGTTGATCCTTCGACCAATTGTCTTCGAAACAGTTGTGGTATCTCTCATTCTGTCCTGAGCTATTCATATATCCACCTATTCTATGTCCTCGTAACTCTCCTTCACTAACACAATTTCTTACTTATTTATATAAACCTAGGATGGGTATTCACTTTATTAAGCTCAAAGTGGTGAAGGATTGGTAGTAGAATTTTCCTATAATTTTATGAGTAGAGCTGATTATTCCTTTGAATTTCACATAGCCTTGCTTTCGCAAAAGGTGTCCTCATCCAGAATAGACTGCAGTTTCGACCTCGCCTAGGCTTTATCATCACCCCCAGCGGGAGTCGAGCCATGATAGTGCAATGGAATGCGCGATATTTTACTCATTTCGCCACATTGTCACGAGTGCGTATGGGTCACAAGGCAGATCTAAATTTCAAGGAAAGCCAGGTATTTGTCCATATCATATTCTTTGGTGGGATTGTTGATGAAGCAAAGTTATATATGTTATGACACTCGAGTACTTTACTTATTTTTCTTTCAAGAATGATTTACTTGTAGTCTTGCAGCCCTACTAATGAGCGAAAAATATTTAAATCTAGTTCAGGTGTATCTTTTAGAGCGGATTTAGTGAGACCTATTCATACTCATCGCTGCTTCCCGCACCATGCTAGAAGTGTTGATCCAAGTCTGCCCTTTGGGTCCTCAATCCTCTTCCTTTACATCCTGTCAGACTCCATGTCTTGCTCCGTAGGATCAGTCTCTTATCTCCTTTGCTCAATAATTTCACTCGATCAATGCAACATATCCATGCTATTTGTTATGTTCAAAACCTTGTCTCACGCCTTTGATTGCCCGTCTCACTTAGCAAGCCCCCAAATTCTGGAGTCTCAAGTGTCATGGAAAGCTTACTCAAAGCTGCAGATTTCCTTCTCACTGTTCAACATTCGCACCGGGCAAATCTCGTAATCAAGTCGCTACTTCATGGGCCACGTATAATATCAAACTCATCTACTAATAATCAACTATCTATGCTCTCCACAGCATCTCTCGTTTTATTCATAATTCCAAGTCTATGGCTTTCATAAGGCTTAGTCTCTTACACCCAGATATGATAGTTCTACTCAAATCAAGTAGATATCACGAGATTTACCCTCGTGGGACTTGAGAAGACTGATTTGGGATCATGTTCAGTGAGGCTGGCGTATAAGTGATATCAAAGTCTTGAGGTATGATTGTGAATATAACGAGTGAAATCACTGAACAAGGTAGATATGAGATTGAGCATAAGGAGCAAGAGGTAGACTCTGACAATATCTGGAACAAGAGGTTGCGGACCAAAAGGGCGGACTTGGATCAACATTTTCAAAATGGTGTTTGGGGGATGAGGGGAGCAGCGAAGAGTGTTAATAGGACTCACTAAATCCGTCCAGGACACACCTGAACTAAGTTTAGATAAATAAGTAAGAAATTGTTATAGTGAATTGGTATTACGAGGATATAGAACAGGTGAATACACCAGGACAATAGAAATAGCAAAATCGTTTAACAGACAATTGCTCAAAGAATCGACTACATTTGTCATTCTTGTGAGGTATAATGTAATGCAAAGAATGACTAGTCTCATTGGCGATACCAATTACGAATCTAGAGAAACGTCTGAGGATGCGCCAAGCCCACGATCCGACTGGAAATTATTATGGAGTCCGGGCAAGGTGCGTTCCTCTAGATCACCCTGAAAATACGACCAAGTTGCGAAAAGAAGGTCAAACAGCTTCAGTAATCTTCCTCTTGTAAAACATCCATATCCTGTGTTTGACTTTGTGCCAGTCTCTCTGATGTTCTGTTTAAGCCATATGTTCGGTCAGTTATGAGTCTTGGATCCACAAACATGTGTAGGCGAAGCAAAGTTATATTTGCTATAGCAATCGACCGCACTATTTGTTTTCCTTATAAAATTAGATTCTCAAGATTACGAATATATCTTAAATAAGAGCTGCATTCATTCCATTTCAGGTGATGATTAAAACAAACTTATAAACAGAAGATAAGTAAATAAGTAGAAAAACTGGGTTTCGAAGAGAAGTAATGCAATTGATTGCTATAGCAAAGAAAACTTAGATTCATCGAAAATCCAAGCACAAAAATGTGATTTGGCTTCATTGGAATTCCCTTCTGTACTATGCTATAAATACACTTGTGGGGGCGTGGCACGGGGATTTATGTATCGATATATTAAGCTGCACTACTCGGGTTCAAGTCCTGATGAGTGTTGATGAGACCTAGGCGAGATCGAAATTTCATTCAATCCCAGATGAAAACAACTCTTGGGAGGAAGGCTATATGAAATGCAATGAAAATGTAAGGCCTATTCATATGATTGTAAGAAAATTCAACTGCTAATCATTAATCACCTAAATGAAATAGGATGAATACAGTTATGATATCAGGTATACTGGTAGATTCGAAAAACAAATGCCTGTACTACTTCAACTGGGTTATTTTAAGCTAACAATCTAAGTCATAAATCAACGAAATCCGATTCATTTTTAACGCAAAAGTCAGCAAACTCGTCATTCAAAAAATCACAGATTGAGCTGCAAGGGATCTTCAAATCCAAAGAACATTAGAATCCGATTGAAAAAGAACATTAGAGGAATAATAGGGCCTTGAAATATCCTCAGTACATACTATGAATGACATTTATGGGCCTAAGCCTGATTCAGCAAAAAATTAAGAGCTGAAATACGAGGATAAGTATATAATTAAAGTCTTTTGTTAAATTTGCTGGAAGAAAAAATAAATAATAGTTTAATACGATCCTAAAAAGAGGGCTATAATTATGCAAATGAGCCTACGCTTTATATGTAGAAAAATTGCCTTTCGAAGAATCCCTTAATAAATTGTATATTAGAGTATCTTTCATTTCGTTTGAAGATGCGAGTGGAAGGGATTCGTAAGTTGGCTTCACTGGAAGCTACAGGGGGATTTGATTGTTGATCTGCACGAATAGGTCCTCGGAGAACGGCCCTACGACCCCGATTAAGCACTACTGAGCTTTCGTCCGTCATGTGACGGACATCATGAAAGTAGGATGCCATACATGACGATAATTCACCAAGCACAAAGGCAAGAAAGGTGGCCGGCTTCAATCCTACCGACTTTTTATAGTTTAGCTAAGTCCACATCACATAATTAGTTTAGATATATTGTGATTACCCTAAATGCTGTTGAGAAATTCCATAACACTTGAGACTCCCAAATTTGGGGGTTTGCTCAGTGATGCTGGCGTATATGGGCTATCAAAGGCGTGAGGCAGTGTTGTGAACAATAACAAATAGCATGGATATGTTGCATTGATCGAGTGAAATCATTGAGCAAAGGAGATAAGAGACTGATCCTACGGAGCAAGACATGGCTGCAAATAAAGCGTGAAACGGATTGAATTGCGACCGAACAGCTGCTTTCTCTTCTAAAACACATATATTTTTTTTCGCCTAATCGGGCTGCTATACCGTTTTGTGTTCATGTGATAACGTTTGTGTGGGAGACCTGTTGATCCATACAGGTAGGGTTGCAACCAGTAAACTTTCTTGTCTTTATGCTTGTCGAATTATCGTAAAGCATGGTGTTCTACTCTGACGATGTGTCACATGACGAACGAAGGTTCAGCAATGATTCATCAGGGTCATATGGCAGTTTTCCGAGGACCTATTCGCACTAATCTACAATTACAAGCCAAGACAATCTCCCTACAGCTTTCGGTAAGGGCAACTTACGAATCCCATCCATTCGCCTCTTCAAACGAAATGAAAAGTACTCCAACAAACCTACATTCTACCAGAGTGTATGAGTAATCTATCAACGTTTGTGGTAAGTAGATAAAGAGAAAATTGCGACTAGTTTTAGAGACCAAAATTTAAGAGAAAAATAAACTACAATTACCTCTTGGGAAATAAATTTTGTCACACTCACGACCTTAACACTCTTGAATGATCTTTTTAAGAATATATGAAGACCAAGATGTTGTGGTCTCTCTTTGACGAGTCCGTATCTTGGTGCGGAGAATGGCAAAGCTCACTGATGATGCCAGCGAAACGTTTGAGAATGTATCAAGTCCACTGTCAGATGCTGAGAATCATGACAGCTACTATGGCAGACGACTTCGGACTAGGTGCGTTCTACATAGTCACCCTGACAACAAGACCAAGTTGCGACAACGAGGTCAACCAACTTCTATCTTTTTAAGTTTTATATTTCAGTTATTACTTGAACTTCCAACAAATAACGTCCACATCATCGTTTGTTATTATACAATGTCGAGTAAGTAAACGAATGATTTAAATAATTCAAGGGATCCAAGATTGTCGAATAAATCCTTGGTAAGCACCCCTTCGTTCAAATTCTTATAGATTCAATCACACATAAAAGGCACACTAATAATGGACAAAGAGTTACCGGATGTGTCGGAAGTAGATGTAGCTTTTTTCGTCCTGTGACTCTGGGAATGTTTGGAATTGTGTATAGAGGCAGCTTCCGTCATAGAAATTCCTTTATTACTATTATCATAGTTTCCATGATAATCATTCACAGCCATGATGGATGAACTAGAAAGGCCAATTCTACTGTCATCTTGGCAACCTTGTTTGAGCCTTGGATTGATTTCATACTTAGACGTCGATTGTCCAAATCGGGAAAGGGCGGTAGCAGCCGCTAGGATAGTGGAAGTAGAGTGATTAGTGTTGGAAACAGATGTAGACATGCCCTCCAGATGGATCGGTGAGGATTGACGCCGGTTTCCAAGATTCGGGTTCAGCCATAGTGAATCCTCATCAACTAAGGTAGAATGTGGACGAGGCGAATAGCGCTTTTTCGGAGAGGCCAGTTCTGTGTAAGCATAATATTAAAAAGTATAAAGGATGTAAAAGTAGAGGATAGAAAAAATCAAAATCAACAGGAAGAGGTAAATGCAACCTGGTCGCTTTTAAGTGCAATCAATTTATTGGGGTGTGTAAGATCTATAACATTAAAGTCGAAGCAACAAAAAATTATCAATAATGAATAAACCTTGATATCTAAAATCGAAAAGTGGTTAACCTGTCCAAAACATCATTTGACAGTACTAGTGATAAGGCTCTATCTAGAGATATTAAGTATACTTTGCCAAATAGTAAGAGTTCCACTGAATCGATTTTAGTAATGTTATTAACTTTACTGGCTGATAAGCGGAATAAATCAGAAGTGAGATTGAAATACAGGTTGCTCCTCTAATTGATAACCATATAGAAGCAAAAAATAAGAAAAGGTGAGTTAATAATATGATTAGGAAGGTTATAAAACACGAGCAAATAGTTTTGAGGACAAAGGAAGAGCAGTTTTAATTATGGATAGAGTATGTTATATGGAAAAGATGATGGGAGCTTTAGCTGATTTTGATACGTATAGAATTATAACTAAGGATCCTACAGAAACACTAAAGTCGAGACTTAAGAGTTGCCTGCAACAATGCGTTAATAGTGGAGAATTGGAGAAGTAGAAAATGAATGCACTTCTTCAATGTGACGCTAGACCTCCTCATGTATATGGTCTACCCGAAATCTACAAAGGGGGTTACATTTAGTACCATCGTTAACAATAAGTTGAGTGTGATGCAGAAAACATCACGATCACTTTGTGGTCAATCAAAGCAAAGCTCAATAAAGAATTTTTATGACTTTATATAGTTCATAGATAAATAAATATTAAAATAAAAAGATGTGTAACTTTTGATCTAATATCGATGTACAGGAATACACCGATAAGTGGGGCCATACAGAACTTAGTATTAACCTTAGATCTGCACGCAGGGATTATATAATAAAATAAACTAAGCAAGGAGTTAATCATGAGGCTGACGAACTTAATAATCAATAGTACATATTTTATCTTTAGTTGTAAACTGCACGAGCAAACCGAAGGTTGAACTGTGGGATCGTGTCTCCAGTTTTAGCTAATAACTACACGGCTCTATTAGAGGTCCGGCTTTTTCAAGAATCACTTATAGTTCTGAAACTGTTGGCCAGAAATATGGATGGTTACTTTGCTATCTGGCAGCATGGCAAAGAGAGTTAGGAAGACTTCGTTAGGTTAATGCATATAGTAAATAAGGCGACAAAATTCACTGTGTAATTAGAAAGGAACATTGACTACACTTTTCAGACGTTTAAGTTATTAAAGAATGCAACAAACACAATATATATGCATATAGGAAACCAATAAATGCGGGTTTCCTTCTTAATTTCTTCTCAAATCATAGTGATCATGTTAAGGTAGGGGTAATAAAATCAATGGTAATAAGGAGTTTATCTCTAGCGAACGTAAATCATCAGGAACAGAAGCAAGAAATACTGAAAAAATCCTTAGCTGAGAACAATTATTCGTTAGGATTAATTGTTAACAATTTCAAAATACTAAGAAATAGAGTGAAAGGAAACACTTACTAGAGAAAATGCAAGGAATCAGAAGGCCCTAAAAGCTTACAAGAAAGATAGGAAAATTATTGAGGAAATGGAGTGTCAAGACAATGTAAAAAGAAACAATAACTCTTTCCTCGATCATGCCTTCTTTTAGATAATTTTCAAACGCTCTCTGCAGATCAGATTGTCATATGGTTTTGTGTTCATGTGGTAGTGTTTATGTGGGCGAGACTTGTCGACCCATACATAAGAAGCTATCAGGACACAGAATAGCCTGAAAAAGTGTATGGATTCAGAAATCGGAGGTGGCTGAATATGTGGTCACTACGGGACATCAGATAGAATGATCTAAATCCCAACGTTTTGTTGGGACTTCACAGTTAAAGGGAAGATCAGGGAGTCGATTGAAATTAACAAATCAAAAAAATCCTGAATAAGAGGAACAAATGTAGGAAACTAAGTAAGATATAAGTAAGTATGATCTCGGCTGGCCACCTTGCTTGGTTTAGTTTTTTGGTGATTGGTCGTAAATAATGGTTTCTGGCTCTGACGATGTCCGTCACATGAAAGATGAAAGCTCAGCACGGAGTCATCGGGGTCACCATATGAACATAAAACCTTATAGAATGCTGAGCTAAAGAGGGGGTCGAGATTGTATTTATACATTGTTCTGATATTCCACTCCCCCGCAAGCCATCTAACTTTTTCACGATCTGGCAGAAAGGCAAAATCAGGAGCCGAGTAGAGTGGTATAACTGCCTATCCCTCCTAAAATCGAAATATTTCGTCATCCTGTTACTGAGTATTGAAATGTAAATATTTATAAAGCTCCTTACTAGCATTGAGTTCATAGCTCCTACTTTAACCCTATACGTATGTTTAGATTAGAAATTGATAAGGAAATCTGTGTGTGTGAGTTTCCTATACACGTCCATGCACAACTTCACCTTCCTTACTCACTAATACAGCCATAGATGGCAATTTAATCTCCTCTTCGAACTCCATAATACATTTATTTATGTTATCTAATAAATACATTAGCTAAAGGAATTCTTCCATTCTAGCTTTGCTGTCGAACAGCAAAGTAATCGTCCATATATCTAACTGAAGATTGGAATTAGGATTAAAACTTGAAATAGCCGGACCTCCAATTGAGCCATATAGTTATTAGCTAAAATAGAGGCTAAATAAGGTCCCCTATCCAAGCCTCGAGTTGCTCATACAATTTATAATTGAAAGAAATCTATTCATGGCCAAATTAATTAAACTAATAACTGAATCTTTGTCTAACTTTTTACCTCTTGTGATCTCATGATATTAATCAAGAGATGACTCTAAGGCCTTCCTTTCCTGATATATTGTAATATTAGACAATAAATAGAAAAAAAATCAGCAAATCTCCAGTCATGTCATACTAAATCACTGAGGAATTCTTCGAAACACACTTTTTCTCACATCTATAAAAGATTTTGAAGAAGTGATTGAGCTTGGTGTATTAAAAAAATAGAATTTA